TTTTAAATAATTAATTAAGATCAAAACTTTTAATTAATTAAATCTAAATATTAAGATTTAACAATGAATTATTAAAATTAAAAATCTATTGTTTAAAATACTAAAATTTAAAATTTCACATCATTGTGATTTTCATTTTTCTTTTTTATTACTTTTTAACTTTTTTTTAACAAGCATAAATTTAAAGAAAAAAAAATTACACCCAGTATTTAAAAGTAGAATGTAAATCTTTCTACAAAGCTTATAGCCAATTCTCCTTCTAGCTGCCATTATTTTTTAATTGCAATGAGTGAGTCAGCAGCAAGTCAAGGGACGAGAGGCCTGGATACCCCACAACAGCTAGGATAGCTTCTTTTAATTCCTTTAATCTCCCTCTTTCTCACTTTCCATATTTTCTCTTCTCTCTGGTTTGGAAAACCATGAATCTGGTTTCAGGATGGTAAGTTTCCATTCTTCCCCAGTACTGAATATCTCAAACCATCTATCCTGCATTTTGAGTTGCACAACTTCTTCCATGTTCTGAAAACGTGTTTCAATTTTTTTTTTTTTTTTTTTGCCCTTTTTAAAGTTTACATTGTACTTGGTTGACCTGCAGCTTTAGTGTTTCTAATTGTTTCTTCCATTATTAGCATATAAAACTTTAAAAGGTTTCATTTTTAATATATTTTATAGCACCCATTTCTGTTTTGGACATGGGTTTTGCTTCTGCTCTGACTGGCTTTTCTGCCACCTTTTGGTACCCAGATCAACTCTGTTTTCTTTGATCTTGTTGTTCTTGTGTTCACAACTGGATTTTAGCGCCATTTTGTATCAGCTCTGCCCCTTCTCTTGAATCTCCTCATTTTGGTAGTCTCAAGTGGATTACAGCTCCATTTTGTACCAACTGAGAACCCATCTTTAATTTATTATCCATTTTAATAAAAGATCAGAGTTTTGATCTTGTGGAAGCAGATATGAACGAGAAGATGGGGTGGGTTTCATGGGGTCCTAGGTTAGTTTCATTGTTTGCAATGGTGTGTACAGTGAGGGGTATTGGTGCAAACTGGGGTACACAGGCGACTCATCCCCTGCCCTCGGATACTGTGGTGAAGTTGATGAAGGATAATGGGATTCAAAAGGTGAAGCTTTTTGATACAAACTATGATACGCTTAGGGCTCTGGGTGGGTCTGGGATCGAAGTTATGGTGGGTATTCCAAATGAAATGCTTGCTTCTCTTGCTGGCAGCATCGAGGCTGCTGAGAAATGGGTTGAAAAGAATGTCTCCTCCTATATGCGTTCCAATGTCAAAATAAGGTCAGATTTTTCATTTCAAAATTTTTTTGTTCTTGGTTGTAATTTGTTAAACCTGTAAATCCTGTATTTCTTAATACTAAATGCATGTCCCAGTAAGCAATCGTTGGAATGAAGAGGTAGTTTTGTGGGGATCCTAATTTGTTCACCTGCAATAATCCTGCCATTTTTTATGTTGAGTACATTGTGGTGTAGATGTTGATGAAAATGGACACTAGGCATCCTGTTTTTTAGGTTCATTTTCAAGAATCAAGATCCTAAATTTATCATACTTGAGGCTGCTTTTATCGTCAAGACATTGTACATACCCAAATGTGTCATTGAGTTCAAAAATTTTGCTGCATGTGTTCTGGTGCATCACAGCAAGATGGAAAGATGAAATACATATATGGTCAGATAGTTCTATGTTTGTTTGTTGGTCTTAGCCAGCTAAGATTCTATTGTCCATCTTTAAGATTCTAAAATCAGAATTCCTGAGTCCAGATTGTTTGTACAAAGGCTCTTATGAATTATGATCCTCCAATCCAAATTGGTGAATGGCAGTTTTAATTCCAATGTGCTTCAGTGCCTTTGTCTGATTGCTAATGGGTATTCTGGGATTCATTAAACCAAAGTAATAGCTTTTGGTCGCTTTAATAAATTTTCTTCCTACAACTTACCTTCTATTTTTGTGCAGTTGTGTTGCAGTTGGCAATGAACCTTTCTTGAAGACATATAACGGAAGCTACCTCCAAACAACTTATCCTGCTCTTGTAAACGTCTATTCTGCCCTTAGCAATGCTGGGCTTGGCAACCAAGTAAAAGTTACTGTACCCCTTAATGCTGATGTTTATGAGAGTTCGACAGGCCTTCCATCTGGGGGTGACTTCCGAACTGATATCCTTGGGCTTATGCTTAAGATTGTCGAGTTCTTGAGTGAGAAGGGCAGTCCCTTCACTGTGAATATCTATCCCTTCATAAGTCTGTATTCCGATGCCAACTTCCCTGTTGAATATGCATTCTTTGATGGCAACTCATCACATATAAATGATGGTGGGACAGTATATTCCAACATGTTTGATGCTAATCACGACACTCTCGTGCATGCCTTGCAAAAGAATGGTTTTGGGAACTTGCCAATCATAGTTGGAGAGATTGGGTGGCCTACTGATGGAGACCGGAATGCTAACTCAGAATATGCTCGGCGGTTCAACCAAGGATTCATGAACCACATTTCAGGTGGAAAAGGAACGCCAATGAGACCTGGGTCAATTGATGCCTACATATTCAGTTTGATTGATGAGGATGCTAAGAGCATCGATCCCGGTAATTTTGAACGGCACTGGGGAATTTTTACTTTTGATGGATTACCAAAATATACTCTCATCCTGGGCACCACAAATTCTGGTGCTCCATTAGTTAGGGCGACAGATGTCCGCTACTTGCAGAAGAAGTGGTGTGTGATGGACCCTTCTGCCAAACTTGATGATCCACAAGTGGCACCTAGTATGAGCTATGCCTGCGGACTTGCTGACTGCACCAGCCTTGGTTATGGGACAACTTGTGGGAATTTAGATGCTCGGGGGAATATATCTTATGCATTTAATAGTTACTTTCAGAAGAATAATCAGCTTGATGAAGCCTGCAAGTTTCCTAACCTTTCAACGATAACCAAAACAGACCCATCAGATGAAACTTGCAGATTTGAGATAATGATCCAGCCTCAGCATGCAGGTACAGAACAAAGATTTGGGTGGTTGAGTTTGGCTTCAGTGCTTATTCTCATCTTGCTAACAGCTCCATGAGCTCTTAGTTAATCTCTAAAGGTGGCAAATTTGGCAACTTTGAAGCCAAACTTTGAGATCAATTATGCTGTTTGCAACTAAATTCAGAACAATGTCTCGATGTGTGTATTACTTAGTATGCCATTAGATCAGGTACGGGGCCTAGATTCCGGCATTTGCTGCTCATTCTGGTGAATCAAACATGCCATGAGCAGTTTTTATTCCCTATTTCTCCTGATTCAGATCGGGCATATATATGTATTAAGTGACCTTTATCCCCTAATCAAGAATGTGTGTTGTGACTGTAAATGGTATATATGGGTTCAGGCCACTGACTATTAACCAACTGAAGATGACAATGCATCGTCTAATTTTCCGACGCTTTGAATCAACTTTTAATGCTCGAGTTAAGGATATGGTATCAAAACAATTATGCGGTCAGACTCTCGCACTCTACAAGGAAGAGCTTCATTCTTCAGGGGTTCATGCAGATGCAGCCGTTCTTCCTTCACTCATCAAAGCATGTAGTTCTCCTCAGACCCACTTCGTTGGCCTTCAGCTTCACTCCATTGTAATCAAATCAGGGTCTGATTCAGACCTTGCAGTACCCAATTCTCTGATCTCCATGTATGCCAAGTCTATGTACATCGACTCAGCCCGTAAACTGTTCGATGAAATGCCTGAAAGAGACACCATCACGTATAACACCTTGGTTAAGTGCTATAGTGAAAAAGGGTGTCTTTCCGAAACAATGGAATTGTTGAAGGAAATGTACAGACAAGGCTTTGTCCCAAAACCAGAGTTGATTGCTAAGGTCATATGGCTCTGCACACACACTGGAGATATAAAGCTTGGAAGAGCAATCCACGGTCTTGTCATTGTTGATGGGAGAGTGGAGTCATCTATTTATGTGTCAACAGCTCTGGTTGATTTTTACATGAAATCTAATGAATCATTGGTGGCATCACGTGTTTTCTGTTTGATGGACTCAAACCCTGAAGTGGTTTCATGGACTGCAATGATCTCCGGCTGCATTTCTAACAGGAAATATGAAATGGGGATTCATTATTTGCGAAGAATGCTGAGTCAGGACCAGAAACCTAACAGAGTGACGTTGCTTGGTATTCTGCCAGCTTTTGGCGAACTGGGTAATGTTAAGTGTGGAAAAGAGATCCACGGCTATGCTATTCATCATGGGTATGATGATTCAGGTCACCACTTGTCAGCTGCTCTTATAGAGTTCTATGGCCGCTGTGGGAAACGACGTTATGCCAGGATAATTTTCAAGCAATCAAGGGCCAAGGACGTCGTGATGTGGAGTTCAATCATCGGAATTCATGTTCGAGGTGGGGTTCAAGGCGAGGCTATGAAGCTTTTTAGGTTGATGCGAGTGGAAGGAATAGAACCAAATTCAGTTACTTTGTTGGCAATGATTTCTTGTTGCAGCTCTTTAGCTTCATTAAGCCATGGACAAGCCATTCACACCTATGTGGTGGAATCTGGCTTCAACTCTGACCTCTACATAGGTAATGCTCTCATCGACATGTATTCCAAGTGTGGCTGTCTCAAGGCTTCACATCAAATTTTCAACGAAATGGGGGTTAAAGATCCTGTTTCATGGAGCTCGTTAATCAGTGGTTATGGCATTCACGGTCGTGGTGAAGAAGCTCTGCAACTGTTTGATGAGATGCAAGAGAGGAAAATTGAAGTTGATGGGATTACATGGCTTGCAGTTCTATCTGCATGCAACCATTCTGGACTTGTGGAAGAGGGTGAAAAGCTCTTTAAGCATGCTGTGGAAGTTGATGCAATTGGTGTAGAGCACTATGCTTGCTATGTTGATCTTCTTGGGAGGTCAGGGAAGGTTGAAAAGGCCTGTGATGTCGTGAGAAAGATGCCAGTGAAACCAAGTGAGAAAATCTGGAGCTCTTTGGTATCAGCTTGTACGGTCCATGGGAAATTTGAATTGGCAGAAAGGCTGGTGGATGAGATGATCAAATCTGAGCCAGAGAATCCTGCCAATTACACTTTGTTGAGCATGATTCGTGCTGAATCTGGAAACAGGGTTAATGCAGAAGAGGTAAGGAGACTGATGAGAATGAAAGGATTAGGTAAACGTTCTGGCTTCAGCAGAATTGAAGTTGAGAGTAAATTAGCAGAAGGCATGTGAAAGAGTGCAAGAATTAAGAAAATCCTACGGCTTAGCAGAGCTGAAGTTGAAAACAGTAATGGTCCAATAACAGTTCGTGCTGACTCCTTTAGTAAATCGAGTTTAAATGAAGCAAATTTGCAGATACACAAATGTAACTTGCAGTTTGATACAACTCAATCACATATGATATGAACTACCTTAGCAATTTTCTCAACATTTCAAGAGAAGATTTGCATGAAAAACTAGATGTAGAAAAACATGCAATGCACATTCCAAGCCTTGGCCTATCCTTGACCTCTGGAAAAACAGGCTTATCTTTCTGTAGGTGCTGATGATAGCAGAGTTCTGCCTAAAACGCAAAATTCTAACCCTATGATTTTACATCACGGTATACAAGGCCAATTCAAACCTAACCAGAGAAACAATGAGAGAAAAAAAACGTTACCTTCCACGTATCCTTGACCTCAAGTTGACAATTAAAGCAATGAATTCACATCCTAATATATATAAAGAAATTGAAAACTGTTTTACAGGATGAATTGTATGCAGTCCGTCTTGTAAAATTAATTAAATGCTTTTGAAAAAATAATATAAAAACAAATTTAAGGGCATTTAAGTAATTTTACTGGACAGACTGTAAAACAGAAATCTCATAAAGAAATCCCAAATCTGATCTGTTGCAGTGTTGCAAATTAGGTTTAACTGTTTAAGCTTGGTTTAAATACTAAAACACAATAAAAAATGAAATATACAGTGCTGCTTCTGATAGATATAGAAACCTGATTAATCATCATATCATTTAAAACTTTATCTAAAACACAGAGTAATGCCAATGCATACAACAATTTTTCAAAGTTCAAACTAAAATGGCAAACGTCCACCTTGACAACAGGGGATGTGTTGAAATCAATGTAGATTGGCAGATTGCTTTCATGTCCAAACTATGAAACCACAAGAAAGCAACTGATGCCATCACATATGTAAGTGTCTCTGATCCCTGAAGAGGCATGCAAGCAACATCAAGATGAATTTGCCATGGACTCAATCAGAAGCTGATAACCTTCTGGTACTGCTGTTTGCAAGTGAACACACTCTGTCAATGTAGGAATATCAGAACTATGGTCAAGGAACTTGGCCAGAAATAGCAGCAAATGAAAATCAGAAATTCGCTTCACAAATGGAAGACTCTTTGTTCGGTCTAGATGACTTTTCAATGCCTTCATTGTCACGAAGGTATTTCGGTTCTCAATTGGAAAGGTTGAGGAAAGAGGGCCCTGCATTAGAGAAGGGATGCGGAAGTTAGATTAACATCATAAATAGTAAAGAAGCAGATAAACAAGGGTATAGAATTCTTGGGGTACACAAAAGTCAAAAAGACATGCACTATATTTCTAATTTGTTCTGGGAAGTACTGTATATAAGTTGGAAAATCAAAATCATGTTTGCCAATAATTGCTCCAGTCACTTATGCAATTGTTCTCAAGAAGAATCTTGAATCAATAGATAACTCTCAAGTCTAAGCCGAAGTGGGTTGTTATGAAGAAGGCAATGTGGCATACTGAAGAATAATGAAAGAAAAGAAATCCACCAAATAAAAGCTGAAAAAATGCATCACAGTGATGCTAGACGTTGGACAGCTTCTCTGTTAAAGTTTTGTGACTGTGCCATAAAAATAGGGAGACTTGCATAATGCAACCTAAATATGTTGTATGGTCATCTATTGCGACATCAAAATTGTAGTATACCACCATGATAAAAGGCAATTATGCTCCCAGTAAAAGTTGATGGGCAGAAATTTGGGACAATGCAGGGCCAAAACAATGGCCAAGGAATACATTAAGTTATCAGAACTCACGAGGGAAGCAAGCAAAGGGCATAGACTATGTAACGTTGACTAAATATGCATATGAAATTAGTTGACTAACCCATTCACAAACCCAAAATGTAATTCCACCAACCTATAGCTTAGTTTGGTACGGGATTACCCAAAATTCATCAACTACTCAATGAAGATATCCTTCTGGACTCATCTCTTTTTTTAGTAAGTGATTTAAATATTCCTTCCCCAAAGGCCCAAACTCCTACCCATTGGAGGAGGAGTATCAATCTCAATTAGTACTCATTGGAACCATTTATCAAAATCAGACAAACAAACAAGCAGGAGAACCTAAGGATGAAAATCCTACGTACTGCAACATTGCTGCAGAGCTACAAGGCATAAATTCACCAAAGCAAGGATCTTTTTACATCACAAATCTATTATTGGCAACCAAACTAAGGAAGGGAAATCTAAACTAACTAGAGTGAAAAGAATTCACTGTGACACATGTACTTCACAATAAGATAATGAAGACAAATAACAAAACACTAACTTAAAAACCAGCCACAGATACCATATTGAATACTAAGCACAATATTTGAAACATAATCAAACAAGCAGAGAAATGTAGCAAATGAAGCAGAAAGCTCACCTCATGATCCACAATCTTAACCACTACCAAGAAGAAATCGTTATCAACCTCCTTCACATCCTTCCCACCAACGACCACTTCTTTCTTCATCTTGGACAGCTTGGGATCATCATTCTCCTCAAACTCCCTCTCGAACCACCCGTCCTTAAATAACTTAACACACATATCGCTCATCTGAAAAGCCTCGAAGTGCACATCCGCATCCCCATCCTCATTCACCATGAGCTTCACCACAACGGTAACCCACTCCTTCAGCCCACTCTCAGCATGCAGTTCTGCCGCCTGAATCACCTCCTTGTTGGAAAAGTTATAGTCTTTTTTGTCCTGCAATATCGTCTGGCTGAATATAAAACCCACTCTGCTCATCCCCAACCCTGCAGCAATAGTGTCGACCACTTTTTCCTCTTGAGGATCCCTCAAAAGAATCAAGTCGTCCTCCATACCCTGCTGCGGCGGCTCATAAATAAAATCCACTTGGACCGTGCCATCTTCCAAAACTCTGCCGTAGAGGAACCCTCCGCGTTTGGATGCGAATGCAAGTGTTTCATTGACGTAGCTCTGAAAGCCATTGGCGGAGTAGCGGTCGAAGGAAGCAGCATCGCAGTGTGGGGATTCCTGGCGGGTGATCCTAGTCTGCTTGGCAATAAGGTCGTCCATGGTCATCTTACGGCCGAATGAGCCGGCGGGGCTGAAGGTAGGGGCGCCGGCCACGGTGCGTTCACCGTAGTAGTGGAGGAAGACGATTGACCCATGGGAGAGGTTGAGGGCGGACATGGGTGTGGTAGGATCAGCCATGTCAGTGAACCGGAGGAGGTCATCAGAGGTCTTGGCCAAGAGGAGGTTTTGATCGGTGGAAAGGGTCTGGTTATGGATGGGAATTTTGAGCTGGGTCTCGATTATGGACTTGAATTGGCCAATTGTAGTGTGGGGATCGTCGATTTGGAGGCGTTCGAGGCCGTCACGGCTGCGGATTCTGAGCATCATCGTCGTCGGAAAATCTGTATCGTAGTGCAGAGTGATGGAATCGCTTGTTGAAGTGGAGAAAGAAGATACTACGGTGATTTATAAATGCAGTGAATTTCCATTCTAATCCTAGAGATTTCAAGCAACAGTTAACTTACCCAATCCTTTTCCAAATAGGTAATGCAGCCCACCAACTATGAATTATTTTCTCGATTTAAGTCCTTTAAATTTTCAATTTCAACAAATAAACCATGGAAGAAGAATATATTGCGTATCACGCATGCTCATTGAATTTTATTTTCTAGGCTTTTTTATGGGAAATTTATTTGTTTGTTCAATAGTAGAGAAAATTTAAATTAAGACTTGCAAAAAATGAAAATTTTGAATATCTCACAACCCTGGGATTATAATTTAAAAGGAAAATAATAAGAAGACTTTTTTGTATAAGAAAATGAAGAAATTTGAATTTAACACTTTATTTAATTTATAAAATTGTATTACATTGATTTACATTTAGTTACAAACTCAAATGCACTAAATAGTCTACATGGAAAAAAAAAAAAAAGCAGTAAAGAGCCTTTACCAATGTTTAATAAGGTTGTGCTAAGTCATCTGTGTTTGTGCTTTGCTTCTTTCTCCAAAATTCTCAATGTTAATAGACAAGGCAGGTTGGAGTTGAATTTAAAATTAATTAAGCCTCCGTCTACTGCTCTGCATGGCTGTTTGTTGAAACAAAATTAAAAACATATTTGTTAAAATTTATAAGTGCTTTAATTTTTTAATACTATTTATATTTCATAAATTATTTTGTTTTTTTAAAAACTTACATTTTTTAACTTTTTTTTTAATTTTAAAAAAATTTTAAACAATTAATTTTGAAAATTTTCAAACTTTTACCTTTTATAAATTTATTTTTACTTTTTATAAACTTCATTTTTATTCATTTTTTGTTATTTCTAAAAATAACTTTTAAATTTTTTATTCAATTAAAATTTAAATTTATGTCTCATAAATAATATTAAAAAAGTAAAAACTTCAAGAAACTACACCTAACGGGGCCTAAATCAATCTATTTCATGGTAATTGTTAATTTATGAAGAAGCCAATAGAAAACAATAATAAAGGCAAAACCGTTTGACAGTCTGGACTTGCCAAAGTGGTAGTAACAGCTGAGTCCCAAATATAAAAATTGATAAAGAAAGTGTTAATGAAACATGAAAATTGAAGAAAATAGACCAAATTCTGAAACCAAAACGAAAATTCATCACTAGTGAATTGTAGTGCAGAAGAAGTTGATTACTGAACTTCTTCCAGCACCAGAGAGAAGGCACCAAAAGTAAACCTGCATTTTGGAAACACAACGAACCCAAACAAGCTTTCCCAGAGAACAGGTTTCTTTGCTAGGACAGTTTGCAGTAGACATATTAACGCACATAGTTACATGAGAAAAGCAGCAGCATCTGTCAAGCACACAACCAAAGCTGTAAATTAACTACATTATCTCACTTATCCATTCTATGTCCAGCATAAGGAAATCATCCAGCACCAAATTTTCAAACAAAGGGGGTTCTGCAACAGCTGCACTGACAGGAGTATACTCATGAACTGTTTCAGAAGCAGTTGTTGTTGCTCCTGAATTCAGCGCATTAGGTATGGCTGGTGTATCAATTGATACCTGATTGGTCACTGGAGATGATGCTGGGGCATGCACAGGGAGATCTGATGAGGCATAGTTCATGGCTATAGTCTGAATCTCCTTTTTTGACAGAGGATCCAAGTAGCCCTGAGGAAGCTCTGGCCTTTCTTCAGCAGGAAAATTGAAAGATGCATGCATGCCCCGGATACAGAATTGTGCTGCATCATAGGCTCGAGCTGCCTTCTCAGGCGAATCATAAGAACCCAACCATATTCGTTTTCCAGTCTTTGGAATCCTTATTTCAGAAACCCATTTTCCCCATGCCCTCATTCGAACACCTCTGTAAGGCCCAGAACGCCTACGGCCTTTCCTTGAAGGAAAACTTGCAGTGGAGGAGGTATGAGCAGAGGACGCTGCTGAATCCATGGTGAAGAGTAGGTTCCCCAGAGAAGCCCTCAGAGACTGAAAAAGGGGAGTTAGAAATAAGATAGAAACAACTTATGGCCAAAACAAGATGAGAACAAGATACATGATGCTGCTCAAGTTTAAGAGAGCAGGTGGAACTAATATATTTATGGCACGCTACAATTACCGAATGCACGTGGCAGAGCACATCCATCACGTTGTCAGCCAACAAAAGAGCTGGAGTTTCTATATACAAAGAACAGCATTTGGCAAGACACGAGTCAGGTACTTGTCACATGGAGCTCTCTTAAGGAAAAACAGCAATGACTTCCCTATTAAGAAAAACAAATCCAAAACCTCTTTTGGAACTCAAATTTTTAATTATCTTATTTGAAAACATATTCACAGGTTCCTGAAATGGAAGTTGAATTAATGACAGAAACAAAAAGTCAAAGAACTTGTCAGAAAATCTGCAGAGAAACTTTATTGCGAAGCCCATATAATGAAGGGCTTACCTGTGTAACTGGAAACAGAAGTAATGATCCTAAAATGTGTTAAGCTGCAAGCAAGGTACAAATTTTAAGATGCCACTAAGGTGGCCCTGGAAAATAAGAGAATCAAGAGTTGAATGAGCACAGAACAGAGGATATTCAATGCGGTACTCACATTGAAGTCTTCTCACCTTTAAGTGTCAATAATTGCAAAGAATAAAAGTAGGAATGCTGCCGATAACTTTAGATGAGTTGCCTTTTGGTTAAGCTTCCTAAAGTTTTAGCAGCTACCAACCTAGAAACTAAACTTATAAAGTATATAGGCATCAAAATTCCTACCTTTTTTCAAATCACATTGACTGGAAATTTATAAAATATTAAAATTGCAGCAAAAAATCTATTAAATTTGGAAGATAATAAAATTGGATGGAAGATTCACAGAAAATAATGCCATGGTCTATAAGATCACCCAAGCATTTCACTAGATTTAGGATAGCTTCTTACCTATTCCTCCAGCATTCAACCAATCACACATCAAGCATCCAATTCATGTTTAAATGCATCTTGTTCATTAAGTGGTGGACTTGCTCATCTAAATGAACATATCAAAAACTTTCTGTCCTTAGAGAAGGATGCAAGTGCAGCAAACAACTCGGTAGTAGCTCAGTATTATACCTTCCAAATTCACCTATTTAAGGAAACTATGTTTGAAAGGCAAAAGATTTCCACCAAAAGGATGGTGTGGAAAAAGAAACTGATGACTCTCTTTTGTCGCAGTCATAGCAACTATTCTGCACAGAACATGGGTTTCCTAAGGTTCTCTACATTCTTAATAAATCACATCCCTGATTAGCATTTCACAGAAAAAGCCATAAATTTAACAGCTGAACTATTATCTAAGCCTAAAATATGTTGAGGCAGTCTCAAAAGTTTTTCGGCTCCAACATAATATACCTTGGATCCTCTAGGCTTTTACCATCTTCCTCAAAACAAGATTTTCAATCACTGTCTCTAAGCTCCAATAAGAATGGATTAAAACCAAACTCGGCAAAGCAGGTTATGACCTAAAGCTTGTTTCCAGCAAGAAGCAGTAAAGTAGAAAAGCCCTTGGCTTTTTCTTCCTGGAATTAGGAATCAATCTCTACAGAGTCTAAACACATAGTTTTGGGAGGGCATTTGAATTTCACCAAACAAAGCATGCATTTCACAATAAATTCTATCAAAATTTCCAGAAACTGGGATTATAAACTCAATTTTATTCTTCTAAATAAGGTACAATTTGCATAAAAATATTATATCTTTAAGATGGAAAAATAGACTTGTTTGTTTTGAAGAGAAAAACAATGAATCCTTGGTTGAAAGCCATCCAACAAATTTGAAAACAACAGTGGTGCTTACTTTCAATAAATTGGGTTTGGAAAAAATCTAAAAATTTCCTACTGAAGTATACAAACTAGAGAACACTAAATTAGAAGAAAAACAAAACAATGATCAAACCTAGGTTGAAGAAGGTAGAACTTCAGCACAGCCACTTAGACTGCAGTAGCTGCATAAATTCTTCTTCTTTGGAGTCTCCGGAACATCCAATGCTTTCAATAGCTTAAAACGATCCAATCTAACCTCAAAATATCAAATTTATTCAACACCCAGTTACTAAATTTGAAAAAAAGAAAAGAAAAAAGAGTTTTATGTGAAAAGCAAGAGGGAATACTCTGCAGCGGTTATGGAGGTCGTTGTTGAAGACTGTCAACCTTCACCGTCCCTGACTGATCCATATTTTACTCGACACAACTTCCCCTCGTTGCCTCGGTCCTTAGGAGAACCACATTTAGTGCTCTCCCTGGCGACATGGGCAGCACAAATCGGTGATTATAAAGTGAGAACCGATTTCGTCCTTCCGTTTCGACCTCGGAGCCACCGCCAAAGCTCCGGCGAATGGCGGCTCCCCCTATGACGTAGGGAGCGCTGGCCGCCTGACAATAACGCTCCCTCGCAGCATAGTGGAGAATCATCTTCACCAGCGCACCTCACAGCTGGGTCGGTTTGGATCAGTTCTGGTTCCGAATTTACAAGACCTGAGACAGCAATCTACCCGAGATATGTGCATATTAGTCTTGTCTTCAGTTGTAAACACAAGTACAATGGATTATATTTTTAATATAGCTAATAATTTTTTAAAATTATATACTGCCAATTATTTTATTAATTATATAAATTTAAAATTAAATGCACACCTTATACAAAGGTTTTTAGGGTGCATTTGATATTACATTCACTACTTTTATATATATATTTGATAATTTTTTTAAATTATTTTTTTTAATTATAAAAAACTATAATATATTTAAAATGATTTTATATATAAACTGCTTATTTTAAAAGCAACAAAAAGCATAGGCTCCCAACAAAT